TAAATCTTCAACCCAAACTGCTGCAGTCTGCTCTGATACCAATTGATAAGTCCAGAAATCATACAAACATGAAGCAATCTTCAAGAATCATGATGAACATTAAAGATAGAAAAATATGATCAAAGGATGATTAGATTGAGAGAGAGAAAGAATTACAGCACTAATCTTGATAATTCTGCTAATGACGATTGTTAATGACAATTACAAGAAAATCACTATTTATACTAGGAAATAGTAAAGGCTAAACTATTACAAAACAATTACACTAAGGAGAAACTTGAATACAACATTAAGCACTAACTTGAACCCAACAACATGTCCATGAATCATCAGTGTCCGTCCTCCCTGATGATGAGACATTCACAACTAGACCTGAGGTAGCTCCTCTCGAGGCTCCTTAGTATATTGGTGCTCATCCTCACCAGTGCACCATGGAGCGTACCAACAATAATCCTTTAGATGTTGTTGATGCCCTTCAGGTATTCCATCTTCCTACCCTTTCACTTCTTCTAACCCAGAGCTTCTTTTTTATCAATCTCTTTCACTTCAAGTTCGTCTGTGGCTCAAGCAATGGACCAAGAAGAAGTGGAGTATGACATGGCGATGGACGTCAAGCTCATCCTCCCAGCTATCGAGACTGTCCTAATAAAAATGGACGAAGTCCATAAGGACGTGCCTCGCATGGAAGATGTTGTTGCGGACCTCTCAGTTGTCAAGGCTGAAGTCCAAGATGTCAAGAGCCAGCTCTCCTCTCTCCAAGAGGCTATAAGAGCTAATGTTGAAGCCATAGCTGCTCTCACAAGCAGAGCTGATGAAGCACAGGCTCAGTCTCTCCAGCAGACGGAGCTTTTACAACAAGTCATGGTCGCTATTCGCCAACCAGCACTAATAACTCCTCCATCCTTCACCGTTGATGATCGCGCTCAGCTTAATGAGATGCGAGAAGCGACGAACAGCCTAGCCAGTGCTCTGATGTGGCTAGAGGAAATAGTGGTTCTCTAGATTCACACCATAGACCAACTCTCTGGCATATGCTCTCAAGCCTTAGCCAGAGAGGGGGAGATAAGGTCCAACACTGCTGGACCATCTGCTGAACTTGCTGCTCCAGCAACCAATGAAGTTGAAGCTGATGCTGAGGTTGCATGCGATATTCCAACCTCCAGTAAAGCTACTATAGATGAGGACGTTGATGGCATCCAAGCTAAAGCTTGTGATGATGACCTTCCCATCACCTATGCACCTGTTGTTGGTGATGTGGAAGATAAAGATGATGAAGAAGATGATGAGGAAGGTGATGCTCCTAATCTCCCTGACTCCAGAAGCAATCTGGATGACGACGACAATGATGATGAAGATGACTTTACCATCCAGTTCCAGCATCCAACAATGGCCACCAAAGTAGTTGCCCTCAGGGATTCCACATCCCAGGGGGAGCAAAGGGAAGAAGAGTCTGTACTTGAAAGGAACTAGGGCCCTTTATCGAAAGACAAAGGCGTCGCTGAAGAAGGGAATTTAAAGGTACCTTTCCAATCCTCTGAACCTTTATATGAAGACTCCACCTCTCAGGTAGTCATAACTTCGATGTATCAACTCGAGATACCATCTACTACCTGCGGTCATCTATAATGGGTCCCTAAGAACCCTATCCCAACACTCCCACCGACCAGCAGATGACTCAGCTCAGGGAGTCACTCAACCAGACTAGAGTAAAAATATTTCTTCGTACCTCTAGTGGTGGTGAGTTCGACTTACTGACAGAAGCTGAAAGACTCGAGGCATTAAAAGCTGAGGAAGAAATAGAACTTCAAAGAAAGTAGACTGAGAACAGCCTAAAGCTGGCCAAGTCTGTAGCTGAGAATGTTCTTCCCAAGAGAAAGTCCAAAAAGAAGGTGACTATTGTCCAAGCCCAAGCTAAGCTCCCATCTCTTGCAGAAGTTGAGCAAGAAAATAATCTGAAGTTGGCTGAGCGGGACAAGCGTTAGAGCGAAGCAAGCATGAACAAGAGAATCAGTCCTCACCCAATCAAGAGCATCAACATCAGCAGATGATCTAAAGACAGTAGGACGTTGCTCTCCATGCTCATTACCAGGGACAATGTCGATGCCGTGACCGAGTACCCCTCCTATCTACGCAAATATGGCTACATTTAATGGCTGGAAATCAAACAAGCCATTCAACGCTCCAAATCCAGACATAAGCCAATAATTGAAGACATCATCAGTGAGCTGATCAAGAAGGTGTCCAAGTATGTCGCATTCCCTGAAAGGCCAATGC